ACTTTTGTTTTTTGTTTTTTTTACTAAGTAATACTGCCTTCAATTTTCCTTTTATGAAATGCTTGTTTGTCAGATTTTGTTCAGTGGTCATCAACTCCAGCTGCCACTCATCAAAATCACCTCTAGTGACATTAAAGTACAGATACCTTAGTCCAGTAGAAACTGTCCTTCTCTAATTTGTAAGTTTCTGTTTTTATTTTTAACAACACTTTTGCTTTCCTTTTATTCCTTACTGCACGAGTAGCTTAGTTTACTAGCTTCAATCTTTCTTCTTAAAGAGAAAGCTGGACCCCATGGTGTTCTCTTAGTTGTTAGTTTCATGTTAAATGCAATGTAAATTTAATTTAATTTCCCTTTTGATTCAAGAGTCTCTTAGGAAAAAGCTTTAAAAGCTTCTGGAGATTTTAAAACAAGGAATTGTTTCTAATTCTGTTATTTATATTTTAGCTTTATTTCACTGTGATCCAAGAATGTGACCTTTGTAGATTCTACTTTTTTGGAATTTAATGAGGTTTTCTTTGTTCATAGAACATAGCAAATTTTTGTGAAAATTCAATAACTATTTAGAAAGATGATAATATGTTTTAAGGCTCATAATTCAATATATAAATATTAAATAAAGCTCAATAATTAAATTGTTAGTGTCCTTTATGCTTTGTTTCTTCCTTCCTTCCTCTGCCCTTCCCTCCTTCCTTCCTCCCTCCCTCTCTCCCTCCTTTCCTTCCTTCTTTACTTTACAAAGACTGGGAGGTACATTGTGGTCATTGATCACTATTTTATTTTTTATTTTTCTTGTTTTGTTTCTAATAAGCCTATGGAATGTTAAATTGACCCACGTGACTTTCAAAGCCTCCCATAATTCATTATCTTAATTTCCAGGTGTACAGAAAAATAAGTATAAAATAAATTAAAAAAAATAAAAATAAACTATGGCTCTGCAGTGTAACTTGATGCATAGAGGATAGAGGAGTTGTATCTGTCTTCATTATGGGCTTTCCACATAATTTTTATAAAGTGAGTCTTGTTATGTTTAATGACTAATAACTTTAAGCTAATCTGCTTTCATTTTTGTTTCAGTTTGCACCACACATTAGGTTGTTTGTTTATTTTTTAAAGTTTAGATGCTTCTTTACTCTTTGGCTTAATTCATATGAAAGAGGAATGAACAGTTATGCATTTACTTTGCCCCAGGAATCGCTGCATTACATTTTCACTGTCCAGACAATATAGTCAGACAAACATCTTCCACATACAGAAGAATTAAATAGTTCTTTCAGATAAAGAAACTCAAAGATCAGTTGTGGAGATACCTTGCATAATGGAGAGATGACTGATTATTGGATGATGTTAATCCTCAGACACCATGAACCAATTTTTACACAATTCTCAATCCCAGTACTGAAAATCTAAAAATCTATGAAATTTTTTAATGTAAACAGCTATTCAAGTGACTTTCCAGCTAAAAATCTGGAGGCAAGCCATTGCAAAAAAAAGATGTTGCAAAACAGTGTCTTCAACCTTTGAGAAGCTGTTCAGTTTAGAGTTTGCAATATCACACACAACAAAACTCAAAAACTTCTCATCTTTCATGACATATTAACAAAATTATTAAGAAAAACTAGGCTGGAATTACCAAAGATGTGAGGCCTGGTACACAGTTTGAAGGAGACATCCCCAATCAAGAATTCCAACCAAAAATCCCCCAAAATATAAAAACAAAAAAACCCACCCATGAATATAGAAGATAAGAATTCAAAATGTTAGGCATTTTAACTGCTTGATTGTGACTCTGACTTGCAATGTCACTCTGCATCCTGTTTAGGATATTTAAAAAATGCACCATTCCCCCCATCAGCCTGGATGGAAGGTTAAATTGACCACAAGACAGTCAAAACCTCCCTAATTGTGCATGCATTGCACATGCAATTTAGCTTGCAGCACACCATTTCACAGCTGAAAAGCAGCATTTGCTGTTCTGTATGTGTCTGTACGTACGTGTCAGTTCTAATACTTGCAGGTGCAGATTGGGCAAACAACCTTACTCCTGGGCTCTCTCTTTGTTGCTCTTTTTACGGACTTGATCTTCCTCGTGGCCACTGAGTGCCTTGGTGGTGGCTGCAGCAGGCAGGCAAGAAGCAGGTGTCTGGCCATGATCTATCTTTCTACTTTTCATCCTTTGGAAGAACTTTAATTTACGTGTGTTTGTTTTTATTACACCACATAGTTGAGTTTGGGATTTTGGCCAAATCTCAATCGTTTGCTTTCATTGGGCAAATATGCTCTTCTTAACATATTTTCGGCCAACATACTGTGTGTGGTCTTCTATCCTCTGTGGTCTTCTATCCTTTCACGATGCTTTAAATACTTCCTCTTGATTTCTTTTTAGTTTAGTTTCTTATTTTGTAATATGAGTCTGTGTTATTTTCCTCCTTGAACATTGGAAACTATTTTTAAAAGCTCTGGGGAAGTACTCTTAAGTGATTAAATGTTCCTAAACTTTTATTTTGGGTTCCTTAAGAAGTATTTTTGGTTACTGAATTGGCAAGCCTTCATGGTCCCAAATTTTCATTGATAAGCCACTGGCATTGTTAAACATTTTCTTAAGACTAAATAGCCCCTGCTTACCAAAAGTTATTTGTATTTCTTGAAATAAATTCAGCACTACACTTCTAAAATCTTGCATGCTGTGCTAAAGGTTACCGTATATGTTGCAAAATACTTTCAAAGATACCCTGTTTATTTATTTTTTTGACTGCTCATATCCATCCTTGTTATCAGTTCTTCCTTTTGCCTAAAATCGGAGTGGGTGGCTTCTATTTTGCTCTCTCACTGTTTCCATGAAAATGGTTAAAATCTTCTTCCCAGAGCTCGAGCTAGAGACTAAGTGAGGTAGGTGAATGCCCAGCAATTCAGAAGGCTGAGTAATGGGAGAGAAAACTTAGGCTGCAGGCAGTCCAAACTGAGATCTTCATCTTGGCCTGGCTTCTCTGGGTTCAGTGAGTCTGCAGAATCAGGAACTCCTTTTCCAGATCTGGTCCCCCACAGGAAACAACCCACTGACCATGTCAGCCTCCCCCCCCCCCCCCCCCCCCCCCCCCCCCCCCCGCCCCGTTAGCTTCTGCTGGCTATGATTGGAAAGTGTTTTGTCTCAAATGTGTTTTCTGTCTGGTTCATTAACAGTCCTGGTGCTGGCTGTCACCAGCACCAGAAGAAATGTCCCCAAAGCTTACTGACCCCATGTCCTTCAGGACTGGGGGTATTCTTCCAGTCTCTGCCCACTTCACAAATGGGGCATCATGGGCAACCCAGTTCTGCTAAGTGATGATGTAGAAACTTCCTCTGCACTCTGCTTATATCTCTTGCCTCAAAATGAAGAGAAGTAAGATGCCTTTCTTAAAAAATCTGGGCACCCACTTACAAACTCTGGAATTTTAGCTAAATGTTTACTGAATATATGGATTAAAAGGGTTACTTTGTTCAACACGAATTATTTTTCATTGCATGGGTCAGAATAATTACATGTTTTTAATGCTCTTCTGCCAGTTGGTTATCTAAGAGGGGCACGTGGCTCATTTTCCATTACTGATAAATCCCTTTTTAGTAGATTTACCTTGTATTCTTAGACTGGCCTGAAACTGACCTGGGGAACCCTACATACATTATTTTGGATGGGAAACTGCTGCCACAGAAGAAGTTGGGCTGGACTGGGAGGTAGTATAGTTAATAAGCCGTGGGGGCACATCACTTAGTCTCTATGATCCTGTTCCTCCTCTAGAAGATGAAATAACATCACTTGTGCTGTCTCCTAGAGAAAAGGACTTTTGTAAAGAATAAATGAGATGATATATAAGAAGACAATGTGTCAGGAATATAGCAAGACACTCTAGAGGGGCAAGCTTGCATCACTTTTTCTACCTGAAGTGGAAAGGACTGGAAGTTTCTTTCTCACAGATTTCACTCTTTTGAATAAGAGAAATGTGTTTTGGCTAAGAAAGAGACAAATAGGCAGACAACTCGGCCAATTCAATCCCTCCCTTTACAAAGCTTATGTTTTTTAAAAAATTTTAATGTTTTATTTATTTTTGAGAGAGAGAGAGAGACAGAGTATGAGCGAGGAAGGGGCAGAGATGGAGGGAGGCACAGAATCCGAAGCAGCCTCCAGGCTCTGAGCTGTCAGCACAGAGCTCGACATGAGGCTTGAACCCATGAACTATGAGACCATGACCTGAGCTGAAGTCTGACACTTAACTGACAGAGCCACCCACGTGCCCCTACAAAGCTTATGTTTTAGCAGCAGCACTGGGCAATATCCAAATACAAAAGCAAGATCAATGATGGGCATCATTAAGAAAAGTGAAAGAAAGAGCAAAATCTAAATGAAAAGTTGTTCAATGGATATAAAATTTTAGTCATGAAAGAGAAATAAGTTTCAGTGATCTGCTGTACAACATAGGGCCTAGAATTAACATTACTGCATAGTGCACTGTAAAAGTTTGTTGACAGTGTGGATCTCATGTTCAATGTTCTTACCATAAAAAGTGGGGACACGAAAAACTTTCTGAGGTGATGGATATATTTATTACTTTGTGGTGATGATTTAAGGGTATCTATATATCTAAACCCATCAAATTGTATACATTAAAGGAGTACAGTTTTAAAAAGTATCAATTATATTTCATTAAAGCTGTTAAAAAAAAAAGGTGGGAAGAAAGGCCAGAAAAGGACCAGATGGAAGGGGCACAATAGTACTATTGCAGATAATGTGGTCAGGAAAGATCCATTTTTATTTATTCTGAAGAATTAAAGCTTGTAATAAATAAATTCCCTGGCAAGAGCATAATGCTTGAAATTTCCAAAAAGACCTTCAGATACTATTTTTCTTTTTGCATTTTATAACAGCTTTTTGAGAAACACAACCTAGATACAATCCAAGTTCAAGAAGTTACCACAAGGAATCTCAGACCCAAATGGACAAATTTCAAAATGGTGAACATACATACCCATTTCATGTCTGGTGCTGGCCACACCTAAGCCATATTCCTCTAAAACATCCTTTACTGTCTTCATAGATTCATCGTAACTGGCAGCTAGGCCAAGGAAGTTATATGAGCCCATGTTGATCACATCTTTAATGATTCTTCCAGTAAACCTGCAGAGGGAAGAGCACAAAGGGCTTTCTCATTTAACATCATCTAGTGTTCCATAAAAGACTCTTACAAGGAGATCTTGGGTCTGGCCCAAATCATGTATTTTCTTTTTTCCTTTCTGACATGCATTGCTGTCCACACAAAGGGGTCCACCCTTCAAGGACAGTAACCCCCTAATGAAGCTGGGCAGAGTGTTGGAAAAAGGTATCCTAAGTCGTGGAGTATTACTTGGCCCTGAATGTCCTTGGGCATTTGCTTCTGTGACACTTGTACTCTTATTTATTACATTCCAGCAAGAACTTTCCAAGTGAGAAAGAGCCATGGTCATCACTTGTCAACAAAGCTGAAGAGGCTCTTCTGGGCTGGTTCTGTGTGTCCCACACCTTCTGACATAGGCTTTACTTGAACCATAATATGAAACAGCCACCTTGGCAACTGAATTACCGTGCCTCCCCCACTGGCATTATGAAGGCTTGCAAAGGGCTCTATGATGGAAGACCAGTGGCTTCCATGACTTGGTTTTTGTCAGATCTGTAATCTGGGGCCCACGCCAGGATTTCCTGGAAAGGAACTTTTTCAACCAAGCACCTCCAGAAGGCTGCCTCACCGAAACGTCCAGTTGTAGTCGTCCGACACCCTCTCCATCACATCAAACAGAGCCGCTGGGGCGCTGCAGATGGGCCGGTTCCAGTTGTCTCTGATTCTCATGTAGAGGTTTCTCGTGTAAAAATTCTCAAAGTTTTGATAAAGCGGCACAAAATCCTGTTGTAACAGAGGCAGAAGTTTACCTTTGGTCTCCTGCTTTTTGTATTTTATCTGCAACCGAAAGCTGGAAGACCCATGCAAAACTCCATCTGCAAACAGTTTTTGAGCAATGACCTATCAGGTGGTCCACAAATAACTCTGTGAGGTCTCCATCCCCAGAGAGCTTACATTTTAATGGGAAGAAGTAAAAAAAATGTGACACATAAAGGTAGTAAATATGACAGTGCAATACAAGTCCCAAAATGAGTGATGGAGACAATAAATCCCTGCAGGATTCCATCCAAAAGGTGACAATAGATGTTTATGTCAAATGAATTCAGCGGGGGGAAAAAAAGCAGTTGGAGGATAATTTGGTCTTAACTTTTTTTTTAATTTTTATTTATTTTTTTAATTTATTTTATTTTTACAAATAGTTTATTGTCAAATTAGTTTCCACATAACACTCAGTGCTCATCCCCACAAGTGCCCTCCTCCATGCCCATCCCTCCTCCCCCCCACATCCATCAGTCCTCAGTTTTTGTCAGCATTCAAGAGTCTCTCATGGTTTGCCTCTCTCCCTTTCCCCCACCATTTCCCCTCTTCTTCTCCCCCTTATTCCTCCGTCAAGTTCCTCCTAATCCTCCTATACATGCAAACATATGATATTTGTCCTTCTCTGCCTGACTTATTTCGCTCAGCATAACACCCTCAAGGTCCATCCATGTTGCTACACATGGCCTGATTTCATTGTTTCTCATTGCCATGTAGTATTCCATGGTATAGATAAACCACATCTTCTTGATCATTCATCAACAATCCAAACTCTATGGGATGCGGCAAAGGCAGTCCTAAGAGGAAAGTACATTGCTCTCCAGGCCTATTTCAAGAGATTAGAAAAAGCGCAAGTCCAAAATCTAACAGCTCACCTAAAGGAACTAGAGGCAGAGCAACAAGAACGCCCTAAACCCAGTAGAAGAAGAGAAATAGTAAAAATTAGAGCAGAAATAAACAACATAGAGACCAAAGAAACCATTGAACAGATCAATGAAACCAAGAGTTGGTTTTTTGAAAAAGTAAACAAAATTGACAAACCTCTAGCCAGGCTTATCAAAAAGAAAAGAGAGAACACCCAAATAGACAAAATTATGGATGAAAATGGACTTATTACAACCAACCCCTCAGAAATACAAGCAGTTATCAGGGAATACTATGAAAAATTATATGCCAACAAATTGGACAACTTAGAAGAAATGGACAAATTCCTAAACACACACTCACTACCAAAATTCACATGGTCTTAACTTTTTTGAACATGAATATCCCCACTCATGTTTTCAGATATGTGGATGAACTTGATTTTGGACCTACTGGCACAACTCTTGGCAGTTGGCTGGTTGTCATATAGCCGAGGGCTTAGAAACCTAGTCAATGAGAGTGTGGGGGCACTTGGCTTCTCCCACAGTTCAAGTACTAGCACTGTTTTGTTGTATAAAAGCTTATCCATGCCTAAGGAGTTTGCAATCTGGTTGAGGCTTAAAGCAAGACATATCTAACTTTTGGTCATCTAACTCCTAACAGTACAAAGAAAGCAGAAAATACAAAACTGTGGTCCAAGCCAAGTACTATGGGTGTTTGTTAAGATTAGAGCAAGAGTGAGAGAGAGAGAGAGACAGAGTGAGTCACATCTTGCTGGAGGAATGAAGTAGCTTTATGTAGGAGAGGTCTTGGAGCTGGGCACTGAAGGTGGAATGAGTGCTTTTGGGATGCTGGGAAAGGGCACTCAGGATGAATGGGTCTGTGCTGGACATGTAGGGTGTATTTGAGAAAAATGAAAAATAAAACATGAGACATCTTGTTACTCTGCTCAGAACCTATAATGGCTCCCACCTCACTCAGAGTCAAAGCCAAGGTCCTGAGGAGTCTGCTCCCTCTTACCTTCCTGATCCCATCTGCTACTATTCCCTGAGGTATGTTAAGCCTGCAATATCTAGTTGGGCACAGAAAGTGGGAACCTCAAGTGTCCTGATAAAGAACTCACACATTATCCTGGAGGCAATGGGGAACCACTGAATAACTGGGAGGGAGATTTCTTATTTTCCCATTCTCTTTGAGTTCTTTGCTCTCCTTTCCCAAATGGAATAGAGCTGATATCCTGAGAGAACCAGGTGGGTCAGGGATAAGGCTCTGTGGAAGACCTTATTGTGCTATTGATTTGGTCTGCTTATCTCCTGATCTGGTGCATCCCAGAGGAAAATATATAGAATCTGCAGGTTTTGATGGCTGGTGGTTGCATCCAAGCGACAGTCTTTTTTGTCATATCATTAGGTTTTCAGTGGCTATGGCATCATTGATAGGGGGAAATTGTGATTATCTGTAAGAAAGAACGTTTATAACCATATACTGGGGGACTATCTATTGCATGCAAATTTGGAGGAAGAGAAGGCAACTCTACTGGTTACATTTGTAAGTTGAAAATCTAATACCAAATGCATTTGTCCTCAAGTAGCTAAGTATCCTGATGGAGGTTATAATTATACCCTTTTATGTTCTAACAGGGAAATGAACATATTTTTGAGAGAAAACGAGATTATGCAATTTCAGAAAAATCTTTTCCAAATGATTTCCTCTCTTTTTCAAATTGTTTACTGACTTATGGATTATTATATCCCTAAATGTTATTTGTGTCCTCCTCTTTCTAACTTTTATTTCTCATTTGAAATGACATCATATAAATTCATCCTATCAAGAGAAAAGAGAGATGTAGGTCTGTAAGTACTATTTTTGGACTCTGGATGGGATTATAGTTTTAGATTTTTTTGAGAAATCTTACTAAAAATAAAGTTAACAGTTGGTTTAGGAGAACACTTGGCTTTAGGGAAGAAAAACCCAAATATTATGTCCATAGTATTTTGTTTTAAACATTTTTGAAATTTTAGGTAGAGAGAGAATGTAAGTGGGGCAGAAGGAGAGTGAGGAAAAATCCCAGGCAGACTCCATGCTCAGTGCAGGGCCTGATCCAGGGTTCAATCCCACGACCCTGGGGTCATGATCTGAACTGAAATAGAGAGTCGGATCTCAAGTGACTGAGCCACCCAGATGCCCCTTATGTCTACAATATTAAAACAAAATTAATTTCAACATAGAACCACAAGATGCACACATTACCAGGGCAGAGGGGACACAGAAATCATTGAGTTCAAATACCCATTTGACATGTGAGGAAAATCAGACCCAGTAAGGTGAGTGACTTGAATTCTGGCCAGCCTCTGGCTTTGTTTACTTTCTCAGGAGTCACTTCAGAGTGACTTCAGGTTGGCATCTACCCCACTTGTCCAAGCTTCCCTCCAAAACATCAGTGATAACAAAAACCATGACACACAAAATAGAAAGCTAAAACCAACAGATTGCCAGACCATGGAGAAATGTCCACTCATCATAAGCAACTTGGCATTAACTTGAAGAAACAACCTAGGGCTTTTCATCATTGATGCCTCGTAGAGCTATGCCATCATAGCCCCTTGAGGGAAGGTGGAAAAATACTCCACGCTGTCCAAACTTTCTGGCTCTTGGCTCAGAGATCCAAATTTTCCACTTGTGAGGAAATAGGCAGTCAACTCTTCATTGAGATAAATGCTCTGAGGGCAAGATACAGGGATTCTAACTTATTCTGTGGAGTCAGAGAAGACTTTCTATTTAGCAAGGAATGATCTTCACGTTCAATAGAATTTTTTTTAGAAATTAAGTACTTGAGGGGTGCCTGGGTGGCTGTCAGCTGGGCGTCTGACTTCAGATCAGGTCATGATCTCACAGTCTGTGAATTCGAGCCCTGTGTCAGGCTCTGTGCCGACAGCTCAGAGCCTGGAGCCTGCCTCAAATTCTATCTCCCTCTCTCTCAAGAATAAAATAAAAACATGTAAAAAGAAATAAATTAAGTACTTGAAACTTTTCTGTGAAAGGGATGGGCCAGTTTTTTAACCATCTAGAGCCATTTCTTTGTGGGTAGGGTGAGTGCTACCCCAGATCTGAAACACAAGCTCAGCAGTCTGTGTATTCCTGAGAGGGAACCACTTAGAATTCAAGGTCTGGTTCAGGGACAAATTGCCTTCTTTTGCAGCACCTATGAGGCTTCCTGCCTCACATGGGTGTATTTTCACCCCACCCCATTCCTTTGAGGTACCAGTGAGGTTTCTTCAGGAGCAGTCAACACCTTCCAAAGGTCAATGTCCTCTAGTCTCAGGTAAGCCTCCCACACATTTTCGCTATACCAGAAAATGAAACTGGACTAGATTATGCAAAAACAGGAGCATTGCAAGAGAACATATCTTTATCCATCTGTAGATTCAACTTGTCACTTGGTCTACTCACTATCTTTATTTTTCTTCCTGACACAAATGGCTACATGTGAGAGTGAAACTTGGGCCATAAGGACACGATCATTTTGGGGGCGTGGACTGTAGGAGGGTTGAACAAAATCTAAAAATGCAGTAGACACAAAATGTCTTTGTGTCCACTGAAATATGGCAATCTTTCTTTTTCCACCTTTAAGCTTGTAGGATACTTTATAACTTTCTGAGTGGTATACATATTTCTAACGAACTTTTATAGATAAATCAATGGAAAGTCAGAAAATATGTAAAGAGTCATGAGTGTAACTCCCGAAAACCTTTTCTGTAATAATTGAGAATGTACCTCAATAAAACAAACAATGAAATAACTAAGAAGGTAGCCAAAAAATGACAGGAAAAGTAGTAAGAAAGTAATGGGATATGGTTTAGCCCAAGTAGTTTTGTATATGCAGTATAGAGAAACACAGCCTAAAAATTAATACATGAATAATAACCTGGAAAATGGGTATGTGGGAGAAGGAAACATTATTAAATTCTTCACCTGGTCAGTGGAAGACTCAAGTTACTGAAAAACTACCTAAATTCTACATATATGTGTTAAATATTCAAAGAGAACCATTAAAAAATAGTAGGGAGATATACTATATACAACTTCTTAACAGTGACAAGGAG